GCCCGGGGGCGGGCGTCAAAGATTGTCAGGTTGGGATGCTGTCGAGATCATTTTCGCGACACGCTTGCGTACCTCGACAGAACGAGCGCTCGGTCACGAAAGCGGTTCGCCAGTGCAGCTACCCAACTCCTAGCCGCGCTGAAGTGTTGTGAGCCGTGACATCACGCTTTTGCTTTGCTGCTGTCACGTGACGTGGCAGAGATATTGTAGCCCAAATAACACAAAACACATTAAAACTTCAGACAAGATGTCCCCTCCCTCGTCCCCATCACAACTATTAGCTTGTTAGCATTGAAGCTATTTCCTAGCCAAAATGTACCTGACCCGAATGTTTAATTGTTATTCGCGCTTTTCTCCAATTAGGTTGCTTGGCTCCTCTTTTTTTTTTGTTTTAAAATAAATCTTTTCCACAGATTTGTCTAATCATTTGCTTTTGTCATAAATGTCTTCAATTTTAAAGAGACGTTATGGACATCTCTCCATCATCCAATATGGCGGGATATGAGCGCAAGTGGAAAAGGAAAAAAAGAAAAAAAGAAAGGCTCTTGGCAACAGTCTTCCTTGTTCCGGTACAATGCTAACCTCTCGGAATGACAGAATATGAGGATGATAGCGGCGTCTTGATGTCAGTGATGTGACTTTAATCGGAGCCGACTTTTTCCCGCCCACACACCTGCCACCGCTCTCCGTGATGGATATACAGGTCGTCACATGCAGATGCTGCCGTGTGTTCAGCGCCCCCTTTTCAGAGACTGCAACCCCCCCACCCGCAACGCACTCCTCACATTGAGCGCTGTGCTGAGTCATCAAATATTCACATACGGTGTGTGTGTGTGCGTGTGTGTGCGTGTGTGTGTGTGTGTGTGTGTCTGTAGAAATTGACTTGTGCATTTTCACACGTAATTAAGTCTGTGTTAATTCCTCAAAGGAGCCCAACAATTAGCACCGGCATGAGTGGGATCACAAATGGCAGTGTGTTGGCACACTTGCCAAAGGCAATTAGCGCGTTTGGGTGGCTAGCAGCGCTACGTCCTCATTTTCAACCCATCCCAGATAGGCGTGATGTTCTCGTGCTATTTTGACAATATCATGAAATGGGGTGAAAGATGGCAGCAAGGAAGATAATGGCGGCCTTTAAAATCTGCATCGGGATGTTTTACTATGAATATTATTCCTGACCGTATTATAATTTTCTTTACTTTTATATTTTTATAATTTTTTTCCCCTTACAATTCAATACACGCATGGATAATTTCATTTTATATATTTTACTTATATACATATTTTAATTTTTTAAAAATATATTACTCCTATATTTTATAATCTTGTATGCATACTTTTGTATAATTTGACAGTTCTTTCATTTGAAATTTCTTTATTAGTATTTAAATGCTCTTTTTTTTTTAATATATATATTTTTTTTAACCGCAGGGGGAATATGAGCAGCGCCAAAATGGCTTGAGAAAAAAGTTGACTGTGCCGTTTCCCGGTAGTCGCAGTGGCAGGACACCACCTGTGTGTATGAGTATTTAAAGAGGATTAAAAGCAGGAATTTGACTGCAATATTATTTAAAAAAAAAAAAGGGGGGGCGGGTGGGG